ACATATAAGAGCTGATTATAACTGCATGAACACAGATAAGAAACTCAGATATTTGCTAATGGCCTTCTTCTTAGCAATGTGCAACTAAGAGGCCAAACCAATATGCCAGTAATTTGCTTAATATTACAAAAAAAATTAGTTCAGACAGTATGTACATAAAGAATTTCACTTACATATAAAACAAACATAAACCATGAATAATGTATTAATATAGTGGCAAAGTATTTTTAAAGAAAAAAATCCAACATGTCTATTGCAAATCTTTCAAATTCTAAAACACAAAAAATTCTTAGTTAGAATCAGAAGTGGCTAAAGAGATGCAGTTGCCTGACACATGCATTTTTCATTTGAGTCTACAGTGATGAGCAATACCTGCATGAATTTTATTTCTATGCTGAAAACCAAAAAACCCACACATGGTAAAAATTACAGTTTTGTGTAATGAAGATTAACTTTTGATGGCAATCGTAACCAAATCTAAGTATCAAGCATTCAAGTCTAAATATTACTTTATGTTAATTCTTATTACATTTTTTAATCTAAACATTAAAACATGACACAGGCCATATTTACCAGCATTTCCTATTTACTCATTGGAGAAAGAACAAGTTCTAAGAGACATCTACATTTAACTATTTACTCATCAAATATTAGTTTTATTCTATACAGTTGCAGTAGAACAATGCAGCTAAAATAAAACTACTTCAATCCCTAGGGAAAACATTAAAGCTCTAATTGATGCTTGAAGCAAGAGAACTGGTTGTACTTAACAGGCATTTCATCTATTCTAAAGTTATTTCCTGGACTTCTACCTTTGAACTTGTAATAAATCTCTCTGACCTCAGTCCCTCTTTCAGCACCTAAAATAGACCACATACTTTTGGTCAGACTGATATTGAGCTAAGAATGGCACCATAAATATCCTGTGAAGATCAGATTTGCAATAACAGAGAAAATGAGTTACTACAAGATTTTGCATTTCTAGTATTAGCAAATCTTTTTGAAAGAGGCATTTTTTTTTTTTAGATTTGGCAGGAGATATAGCAAAATGAAAAAGATCATAAATAAGATCTTCTTTACATCAAAGTGCTTTTGCTTTCACATCATAATCAAGTGGTTTCTACTGTATGTGCCACTGTTGGCAGGTAAGTAGGAAAGAACATTTTTAACACCAGATGTCTAATGTTTCTGATGGAAGTGTAATGTACAGGTTTGGGGAAAAAAAGGTATTATCCCATCTGAGGGATTTTTATATTCTTCAGTGCTTAGCAATTACACATCTTTTTTCTCCTTCTCAGGTGCTCAACCTGTGAAGGAGACATCCTTTTACCCTCCCAGTCCTCCCCCCAGACCATTTACATTTGAGAGTTTTGAAGTTTTTGAATGGCCTTTTAATGCTGTTGAGAATTGTTTGCTGATCGTGATGGGAATCACCATGGTAGCACGCATACAGAGTGTGCTTTGCCCACAGCTGATTTCAAGAGTTAAGCAGAGTCAGGTTTGGGTCTTGTCTGGGGTCAAACGACGATGTAGGAGGACCAAGAGATTTTCCCTGAGGCTGGACAGCCATGAGTGGCAGGGTGTGTGGGATAGTATGGGCAAGTATCTAGGTCAGTGGGCCCCTCCAGTACTTTGGAATTTCACTACCGAACAACTAGAAAATCCAGAAGAATTAGTAAAACACTTAAATGAGGTGTGTAGTCATTCTAACCATACCAGAGATGGACAAATCATGGCAATGTGCTGGGGCCTGGCCTATGCTTACAGGGCCTTGTTCAACACTATCCAGCACCTTCAAAAGGAAATGAATGTCGGTGGATCTGAGGGCAAAGCAACAGTCAGCGCAGCTACTCCAGCTCCAGGCACAGTAGCTTCACCACCCCCAGCGACAAGTACAGTCGCTACTCAAACTCTGGCTGCAACGAACAGCACAGCTACCCCAGTGGCAAGTACAGCAGCTGCTCAAACTTCAAATGCAACAGACAGCTCGGTTACCCCAGCTCCAAGCACAGCAGCTACACCACCCCCAGCAACAAGTACAGTTGCTACTCAAACCACAGTGATAATTACTGCAGCCAAACCAGAGGACCACTTTGTACCAATATCGGTTGCCCCTGTATGCAAGAGAACAAGCAAAAAAGAGGCAAGAAGGGTGAAGCGAGATGAAGAAACAATGAATTCACCACTCCGTCTAGCATCTGATCAGGAGTCATCATCACATGATGAAGAAGAAGAAGAAGAGGTAACTTCTTGACCTTGGACCTCAACCGAGCTGCGGAATATGCGAAAAGATTTTACCCGTCAACCAAGGGAGCACATCATCACCTGGTTACTCCGATGCTGGGACAATGGGGCCGATGGTCACGAACTAGAAGGTGCAGAAGACAAGCAGCTGGGATCACTTGTTAGAGAAGGGGGAATTGACAAAGCAATTGCAAGAGAGAAAAAGTCCCTGTCTTTGGAGGCGGCTCTTGGCAGCTGTGAAAGAAAGGTTTCCATACAAGGACGATGTTATGACTCGTTCGGCCAAGTGGACTACTATAGACAAAGGCATCCAGTCTCTGAGGGAATCAGCCATCGTAGAGATGATCTATCACATCAAGCCTAATAACGGGGATACACCCATAGATCCAGATGAAGTTGAATGTACACGACCCGTGTGGCGAAAACTTACACGGAATGCACCGTCATCATATGCCCATTCATTGGCAACAGTAACCTGGAATGACATAGTACCACTAACAGTGGATGAAATGGTTCATGAACTCCGAGAGTTCAAAGACAATATCACCCCTTCCATCATCTCAGCTGTGGAAAAACTGTCCCAGGACCTCAAACAATTGAGGGACAATCTATCTGATTTATCCAGCTCCTCACGTACCAACACATGTCTCAGCTATTAACAAAAGGCGTCCTATTGTTCAAGAGAGGAGATCCAGGAGGTATATGCCACGGGATACCCTATGGTTTTACCTGCTGGATCACGGAGAACTCATGACAAAGTGGGATGCAAAACCTACTTCAGCTTTGGAGGAACGGGTGAATGAACTGAAGAGGCGAGCAAGGGCCAAGACTGATCATCCCATGAGAGCTACGGCTTCAGTCTGGTGAGCAGTTTCCCAGATGGAATGGAAGAGCTGATTTTACTCCAGCTCCTGTGATAAGAATAATCCCTTTTACCATGACTTAAGTGTCCAATGCTGTGATGACCATTAAAGGCACCCTGTCTCCAGCCAGGTGGAGGTAGGGGACAATCGGATTTACTGGACTGTGTGGATCAGATGACCTGGCACATCAGTCCCACAGAAGTATAAGGCTCTAGTAGATACCAGTGCACAGTGTACCCTGATGCCATCAAGCTGTCAAGGGGTGGAACCCATCTGTATTTCTGGAGTGACAGGATGATCCCAAGAGTTGACTGTCCTGGAGGCTGAAATCAGCCTGACTGGGAGGGAATCGCAAAAGCACCCTACTGTGACTGGTCTAGAGGCTCCATGCATCCTCGGCATAGACTACCTCAAGAGAGGGTACTTCAAAAACCCAAAAGGGTACCGGTGGGCTTTTGGTATTGCTGATTTGGAGACTGAGGAAATTGAGCAGCTGTCCACCTTGCCTGGTCTCTCAGAAGATCCTTCTGCTGTAGGGTTGCTGAAAGTCGAAGAACAACAAGTGCCAACTGCAACCACAACAGTGCACCGGCGGCAATATCGCACCAACTGAGACTCCCTGATTCCCATCCATCAGCTGATCCATAGACTGGAGAGTCAGGGGGTGATCAGCAGGACCCGCTCACCCTTTAATAGCCCCATATGGCCAGTGCGAAAGTCTAATGGAGAATGGAGACTAACAGTAGACTATCGTGGCCTGAATGAAGTCACACCACCATTGAGTGCTGCCGTACCGGACATGCTAGAACTTCAGTATGAACTAGAGTCAAAGGCAGCCAAGTGGTATGCCACGATTGATATAGCCAATGCATTTTTCTCAATTCCTTTGGCAGCAGAGTGCAGGCCACAGTTTGCTTTTACTTGGAGGGGTGTCCAGTTCACTTGGAACCGACTGCCCCAGGGGTGGAAACACAGCCCTACCATCTGCCATGGACTGATCCAGACTGCACTGGAACAGGGGAAAGCTCCACAACACCTGCAATACATTGATGACATTATTGTGTGGGGCGATACAACGGAAGAAGTCTTTGAGAAAGGGAGGAAAATAATCCAAATCCTGCTGAAAGCCGATTTTGCCATAAAACGGAGTAAGGTCAAGGGATCTGCACAGGAGATTCAATTTTTGGGAATAAAATGGCAAGATGGACATAGACAGATCCCCACAGACGTGATCAACAAGATAACAGCAATGTCTCCACCAACTAATAAGAAAGAAACGCAAGCTTTCTTGGGTGCTGTGGGGCTCTGGAGAATGCACATCCCAAATTACAGTTCGATTGTAAGCCCTCTCTATCATGTGACCCGGAAGAAAAATGATTTTAAATGGGGCCCTGAGCAACAACAAGCCTTTGAGCAAATTAAACGCGAGATAGTTCATGCTGTACCCTTGGACCAGTCTGGACCGGGCCAGATGTAAAAAATGTACTGTACACTGCAGCTGGGGAGAACGGTCCTACCTGGAGCCTCTGGCAGAAAGCTCCAGGGGAGACTCGAGGTCGACCCCTCGGCTTTTGGAGTCGGGGATATAAAGGATCTGAGGCCAGCTATACCCCAACTAAGAAAGAGATACTGGCAGCCTATGAGGGGGTTCGAGCTGCTTCGGAAGTGATTGGCACTGAAGCACAGCTCCTCCTGGCACCCCGGTTGCCCGTGCTGGGCTGGATGTTCAAAGGCAGGGTCTCCTCTACACATCATGCAACTGATGCTACAAGGAGCAAATGAGTTGCACTAATTATACAACAAACTCGAATAGGAAATCTCCATCATCCAGGCATTCCAGAAGTCATCAAGGACTGGCCAGAGGGTAAAGATTTTGGAATGTCACCAGAGGAGGAGGTGATGCGTGCTGAAGAGGCCCCACCATATAATAAACTGTCAGAAAGTGAAAAGCAGTATGCCTTGTTTACTGATGGCTCTTGCCGTATTGTGGGAAAGCATCGGAGATGGAAGGCAGCTGCATGGAGTCCTGGACGACAAGTTGCAGAAACTGCTGAAGGAGAGGGTGAATCGAGTCAGTTTGCCGAGGTGAAAGCCATCCAGCTGGCCCTGGACATTGCTGAACGAGAAAAGCGGCCAGTACTTTATCTCTATACTGACTCATGGATGGTGGCAAATGCCCTGTGGGGGTGGTTGAAGCAATGGAAGCAGAGCAACTGGCAATGCAGAGGTAAACCCATCTGGGCTGCTGCACTGTGGAAAGACATTGCTGCCAGGGTGCAGAACCTGGTGGTGAAGGTACGTCATGTAGATGCCCATGTACCCAAGAGTCGGGCCACTGAGGAACACCAGAACAACCAACGAGTGGATAAAGCGGCTAAGAGTGAAGTGGCTCAGATGGACGTAGATTGGCAACATGAAGGTGAATTATTTTTGGCCTGGTGGGCCCATGACACTTCAGGCCATCAGGGCAGAGATGCAAGATATAGATGGGCTCGTGATCGAGGGGTGGACTTAACAATGGACACTGTTGCCCAGGTTATTCATGAGTGTGAAACGTGTGCTGCAATTAAACAAGCCAAGCGGTTAAAGCCTCTTTGGTATGGAGGACGATGGTTGAAGTATAAATATGGGGAGGCCTGGCAGATTGACTATATCACACTGCCACCAACCCGCCAAGGCAAGCGCCATGTGCTTACCATGGTGGAAGCAACCACCGGGTGGCTGGAAACATACGCTGTGCCCCATGCCACTGCCCGGAACACTATCCTGGGCCTTGAGAAACAGATTTTGTGGCGACACGGCACCCCAGAGAGAATTGAGTCAGACAATGGAACTCATTTCCGGAATAACCTTATAGATATTTGGGCCGAAGAGCATGGCATTGAGTGGGTATATCACATCCCCTACCATGCACCAGCCTCTGGGAAAATCGAACGGTACAATGGGCTGTTAAAAACTACACTGAGAGCAATGGGTCGGGGAACTTTCAAGCATTGGGATACACACTTACCAAAGGCCACCTGGTTGGTCAACACCAGAGGATCTGCCAACAGGGCTGGCCCAGCCCAGTCAGAACTTTTACATATCATAGAGGGGGAAAAAGTTCCCGTGGTGCATATGAAGAATTTGCTGGGGAAGACAGTCTGGGTAATTCCTGCTTCAGGTAAAGGCAAACCCACTCGTGGGATTGCTTTTGCTCAGGGACCTGGATATACTTGGTGGGTAATGCGGGAAGACGGGGAAGTCCGATGTATACCTCAAGGGGATTTGATTTTAGGGGAAAACAGCCAATGAACTTAATTGTATGCTGTTGCCTGCTGTGTAATACTTTTATAGCTCATCAACTAGATGTCTCCAGGTCACCAGCAACTGGCCCTGACTTCCCTCCAACCATCATCCCAACAGAGAATGAACTTTGATAGAACTGGATGAGTTCCGCAGTAAAGGAACGACCAGCATCAGCAGGCAACGATCCAATACTGCACACAGCCTTTCCTGCCCTGAAAGATTGTTACAAGAGATGGAACCTGACATCATGGACCGAATGGACTCGGCAGCATTATAGGCATTGGTCCATGCACTAAGAAAATGATCTTTTTCTCTTGGTCTGTATGTATATGGATGTATATATGTGGGAGAGCGATGGTGTATTGAAAATGTGGGATCTGAGCATGACGTGAATGGTATGGAATAAGGGGTGGATAATGTCCTGGGTTCAGCAGTAGCAGTCATGTTTCTCCTTTGTGGTAGCTGGTGCAGTGCTGTGTTTTGATTTCCAGCCTGGGAACAGTGTTGGTGAAAACGATGTTTTCAGTTGTTGCTAAGTGATGTTTACCCTGACCAAGGACTTTGTGAGGCTCATGCTCTGCCAGGGAGGAGGGGAAGCCAGGAGGAAGCAGAGACAGGGAGCCTGACCCAGGCTAACCATTCCGGGTGGGACTTGTTTCTTGGCCGGTGGTATCATATTCTCTTCCCTTGTTATTTTCTCTTATCGTTGTTGTTGTTGGTAGTAGCGGTGGTGATTTGTGTTGTACATTGGTCGCTGGACTGTTCTTGTCTCAACCCGTAGGAGTTGCAGCCTCGAGAGAGAGAGAGAGAGAGAGAGGAGGGAGAGAGAGAGAGAGAGAGAGAGAGAGAGAGAGAGAGGGAGAGAGAGACCTCCTCCCCGTTCCTGTGGGAGCGGGGAAGGGGAGAGCCCTGGTGGGGGGAAGGGGGGGGGGGGGGGGCTCTATTGCTGTCAGCCCAGCACCACTCACTGGGAGTGAGTGAACAAGCTGTCTGGCTAGGGTTTAAACCACAACAGAGATGAAACTATTTTTATAGACTGGTATATCCCAGGGCAATATACTACATCCATACTCCTTACAATGGTTTCCTATCCTTAATTCTTCTCTCCAGCTTTTTATTTTTCTTTGGTTTGAGAAGGCTGTGTTTGTGTTCTCACTGGTTTCCATAATCTGAAATCCACGAATTTCTAGAGTAATTACATTTTTCTTTCTTGTCATTCCTTTTTGTATAACCAACAATGATTAAGCCAAGAATAACGCAACTGCTTCTAATGTCACCCACAAAACAACTTCTTATATTAACTTCCTGTGTTTAGAAAGCATTGGTCCCCAAATAAAAAAATTGTCCAAGTTGAACTACAAGATCAAGCCAGTTTTATATGCTTAGTGTGGAAAATTTTGTTCCATGGACTTAGTCTTAATTCTAGCACAGGTCTCTCCACATTATTATTGAATCTGAAAAAAAAAAAATGCAGCTTGGCTGGTTTTAATACATTATTTCAGCAAATTCAGTAAATGCTTTCCTCTATTAACGAATCAAGGATATAGGAAGACAATCTGTTACACTCAAGGATGTAGGAAATACATTCCACTGAATTTGTAATTTTTATTAGTTATTGTGAATAAAATAATTATTTTTTTTTAGGTTCTAGTCACTAATGCGACATAGTGAAATCAATACGAATATACTTCTGTACTGTAGCATGCAATATCAAGATGACGCAAAGCTACTGGTCATTTATCAATCATGACACTTAATTACTATTTTATGTATTTAACCAGGCTTTTGATACCAGAAAAATCAGTTCCATGTAAAGTTTCATGCGCTGTGTGTTCTGCAGGCAAGTTCTTTTCACAAGTGTCCAAAACAAAACTCTGCTGTTCATGTAAGAACTCATTTCAGTACGAGCAAATTGGGAGCAGTCAAATCTCTTCTGATGAATGATGCAGAATGAAGGAGAAAATATACCACAATTCTGTTTCTTTGGAGTTTGCCATGAACTTGAAAGGTAATAGTATTCCAGCATGAACAGGGAAGCATCTTATTCCATAGTTTCTCTTTGATGACATCTATTTCAACATTCTAGGAATTAATTCCTAGCATGCTCATTGCTGTATTGTGACTACACAGATATGTAGTACATGCAGTTAATCTATAGTTGGAAAGATACTTTAAACATGTATACATAACACAAAGGTTTGGGGATGAAAGCTGTAAGAGGAAAAAAAAAAACAAAACATTCAAGCATTCACATGAAATGGACTCTTTTGGTTCGCAGGTTAAAGTATATATAAAAAGTATTGTCTGTTCTTGCTAATTAAAGGAACAGACCTCTTCCTCCCTTACATAAACATACAATAGAGAGAAAAGCAAGCAACCTGCTACACAGCGCCCTCATAAGGGAAGATAACCATACTAGACATCCATCCTTTATCCTGCAGTGTAAGTGAGAACAATTGCATTGAAGGAAAAAAGATATAAAGGATCTGTGGTTGGTGGCTTTCCATGGCTACAAAAGGAAGTTGTACAAAGTGCCTAAGAAATAAGTTCCAGAAATACTGGTGAACTGGAACCAAAGACCTGTATGTTGCAAATCCCAGGGAGGGAAGGGGTTGACACTAACCTTGATACTATCATTAGACTTTTAGTATTTAAAAGAAAAAAAAAAAAAAAGGAAAGAAGTGTTATAGTGCACAACTGTAAAGCTTTGTAATAAAGATAGGAGGCCAAATTAAATTTTAATAGGAATTAGCTATTTTCATATCCATCAGGTACAGAACTGTAGATAGGAAGCTACTCTTAAAATAGACATTTGTACATGAGGACCCTAAATTGCAAGGATTCATGGTAAAATTCACAGCCCTGTCATCACTTGCCAAGGCACATCTACATCAAGTCAGCAAGGTGAGGTCAGGATCAGTGAAGTAAAGGCTTAGGCACAACATATCCTAGGAAAAGATGAAGGGCAAGGGTCCAAGCTGATAGCTCTGGCTCACAACACAGCTGTTTCACACTGCCTAACCAAAGCCACCTGTGCCAGCTCACAGGCAGCTGGCCAGACTCTGGCCACTGGACCTCAGGGCATGTGGGCAGTAGGGTGTAGACCCTCGGGAAAACTTGGCATCCTGACAACACCTCCAACAAGCAAGTGGCTTTGGAACTCCACTGTGTGTTTCTCAAGGTAACAGTAACAGCCTTTTCAAAAGTGTTCATGTCTTCCCACTGAGGAACTTATGCTGCAACTGTACGTTTTAGATGACCGAAGACAGCTGAGATGAATCCACCTAAACAGCACCATGCTTATAGCATCAGGACCTTTTTAACTCTACTTTTCAGAGGGTTTTTATTACCCAAGAACTACAGTATTTATACTTCCTATTTTAATATTTTCTCTACTGTTTATCACAAAACCACAGAAATATTGCAGGAAGTCTCAGGGTCTTAAAGAATCCCACTACTCTTAAATCTGAGGAAATAGTCACCAAATACCAAATGCAGTGCTGTCAATTTATTGTGTACTAACATGCTGTAATACCAAAAGGTAAAACAAAATGACACAGGAAATTATAAGAATAAGCCATCACATTCCCTGTATCCATCTGTAGTTTTATTATTCTAAAAATAATTAAATATTTTGCCTTTAAAAAATACCTTATTATTAATATTAGTATTGCTAGTAAATAACTTCAGCTACATTTAGACTCAACTGCACTCAAAATGCTGTAATAAATTAAGGATTTGTTTACACTTTAAGACAGTGTTCATATTTTGATTTAGAATATACATTTAACTGCAAATTTCAAAAGCATTACTAAATCAAGCAGGATATAAGTCAATAAAAAATTCTGCCTAAACCCCAACTATGTTGGGAACCTTGAAGTCTGTTAGGTTTTTCCTTAATTTTAGGCATGGTCATGGTTTCTAAAACTTATTATCGATTTTGGTGTTTCAAACTGAAATAACACAGACCAAATTTTTGGGAAGCAGCCTGTAAGAGTTCTGTACTGTAAATCGGTTTTAGAATAATACTTTATTAGTAGCAAATTTTTTTTTGCCTCATGGTCATGATGCTTATAAATACAGCAAAAACCTCACCTGAGTTCAGCTATAGTTATACTCACTGTTAGAAATTATCTTTTGAAATCTTTGTTTTTTTCAGATAATTCCTCAGAACAAGGTGGGATATTTAGGAAAACAGCTGAAAGCATACACTTTAAAGCAAATTAATGCTGCTCCTTTATTAAAAATTCTATGCTTTATTTTCATTTGTAGGACACAGCTTTATGCAGTTTTTATTAAGATTTTATTATTAGAAAATATTTTTTTAATTCAAGAAATTGAGTAAATTCCTCAAAGCATGGCAACTGGCAGGCACAGATGCCCACAGTCATCCTGATATTTATAAAACTCATCACAACTAATTCTTAAAAAAAAAAGAAAATCAAGCAAGCTGACAGTACACATTTAATTTTTGCTTTCATGATTACTGATATTTTGTAAATAGATAATACCATAAAAGGAACTTATTTTACCTGCAGAATAAGCATAACAGAGTGTACTCTCACAATGCAGATACAGGAGAAAAAATTAGAAGTCACTCAAAAACAACTATAAGAAACCTCACATTTCGTATTACAATGTGTATTATTATTTCTAACTCCCCTAAATATTTAATTTCAATAATACAGTAAATTTTGATTTTAGTATGCAATCATTTTCCACATTCACAAACACAAGGAACTGTGAATAGCTGAAGCTGTTTAAATCCACCATGAAAAGACAAATGCTCTTCCCCGGGCTCCAACATTTGTATCCAAGTTCCTAATTGCTTTCCATGCCCTAACAGTTTTTTGGTTTACACTGATGTACTTCCCTGGACTCCCGGTAACTCCCTTAGGCCCAAAAATCATTATGGAGTTTTACATATTCTGTCCAAAATACTTTTTTTCCCACTAATTATTTCCCTACCTCATTTGCTGAGATGCTTCTACAACTGCAACTGAAATAAAATGGATAAACTAGTAATTTTATCACTAGGTGGTAGATATATAGATTTGTGTTGTTTGTTGAGGTTTTCTTGGTTTGGGGTCTTTTTTGTTTGTTTGTTTGTTTGGGGCTTTTTTGCTGCAAGATGGTACATAAACTAAAGTATATTGCAATATCATTTTTCATTTAATTTATTGCAGTGTAT